TTACAGAGTAACAGAACATCTCAGGGTGGTGAGAACACCACAGAGCAATAAAACATCTCTAAGCATCCCAGGGTGACATTTCAAGGTGTCTACCAACCTTCTCCCAAGACTGTTGGGGACACTGAGTGGGGCAACACACAGTAAATGCCCTGCGGAGCGCTCAACAGTGAGTCAGTCTTCCCTTCCCCTCCCCTTCCCTTCTCCTTTCCCGGAATCCTTGAGGGACCCCTTGATGGTTGCTGAGTGGCTCCAAAAGTGGGCACTGGGTCCCTCCTGCTGGTAGATTATGGAACTGCACCCCTGGCCCATTGTAGAGGTGGAAGCCTCAAAATTCAGTTCCTTTCAGAATCAGGCAAGGATTTTATGCCCTGGAGACAGAGAACTCCCTGGGCTTCCAAAGACCTTTCCATCACCCCATCACATGCCAGAGGCACCAGTCAACTGTATACCATTTTTACTACCTCAGTTTCCTCTGCTTGAAGTGGACTTGCCTCTACTGCTTGTCAAATTCAAACGTTGCCCCTGCGCCCCAGATCATGGCTCTACTTTGCCCCCTCCCCTTCACCAGACAGAATGAATGAGGAATAGCCTCTTTCATTTTCTCAGTATGTGGACATAAATCTAGACTTGCTAGGCTTTATGCATATACAGAGATCTAGAACATCTGCTCATCTCCTGCTGGGAAGAGACTCAGCAGAGGCCAGGGACCATCTTATTCACCTGTTACCAGGGTGATTTCTAACATATCAACAGTCACTACCTCTACCAGAGATCTCCTCTCCTCTCTGAGTGAGGAGGGTGACATGCGTTTTCCTGGATTTTCAAAAATTAGTACATGAATATATCCTTTATACTCCTTTTCGTTTTGAGACACGGTCTCCCTGTAGCCCCAGTTGGCCAGGAACTTATGATGTAGACTAGGCTGGCCTTGAACTCAGAGATCCGCCTACCTCTGCCTCTCCAGTGCTGGGATTAAGGGCGTTGCACCACCATGCCCAGCTCAGATCTATTTTTATTGATGTACTTGTTATTGTGTATGATATGCATGGCCTCTTTATTTTTTTGAGTCTTGCTATGTAAACCGACTCCTGTGTTGAGATTACAGGTGCGAGTCACCATATCCAGCTGAATTTAAAGGAGACAAGATCCTTGTGGACTTTCCAAATTCTCCACCTTGCATGGTGGGCCCTCCTCCCATCCGGCCACTGGCCACCCCATAGCATCCTCTTTCCATGCCTCTGTCACAGTGATCCCACCACCTGGAAAACCTTGGTCCAGCTCTTCAGGGGACAAGTGTTCACTTGGCCTTCAGTCCTCAGCTGGTGTCATCTACCTAGAAGCCACCTTGACTTCCTAGGTCTTGGTCAGGGATTGCTACCCTCCATTCTCCATCTATCCTTCTTTTTTTTCTTTTTTGGTTTTTTTGAGACAGGGTCTCCCTGTAGCCCCAGCTGTCCAAGAACTCGTTCTGTAGACCAGGCTGGCCTCAAACTCAGAGATCTGCTTGGCTTCTGCCTCCCAAGTGCTGGGATTAAAGGTATGCACCACCATGCCTTTAAAAAAAAATATTTTTATTTTATGTGTATGAGTGTATTGAATGTAGGTAATTGCACCCTGTGTCGTGCAATGCCTACAGAGGACAGAAGCGGCCATCGGATCCCCTGGAACTGGAGTTATGGACAGTTGTTAGCTGCCATGTGGGTTCTGGGATTCAAACCCAGGTCTTCTGCAAAAACAACCAGTGTTTTTAACTGCTGAGCCATCTCTCCAGCCCCTCCATGCCTTCTTTTAAAGCTCTCTACAATCTAGACAGCAAGCAGTGAGGCTATTTCCTTATGGAAGGTGGTTTGTCTCATGTATCCCAGGTTAGGCCTCAAACTTGCTATGTAGCAGAGGATGACCTTGAACTCCTGATCCTCCTGCCTCCACCTTCTAAGTGCTGGGATTACAGGCATGCTCCATCACATCTGGCTGAACTTTAAAACAAAACATTTTAGGGACTGGAGAGATGGCTCAGCAGTTAAAGAGCACTTGCTACTCTTGCAGAGGACATGGGTTTTATTCCCAGCATGCACATGTAGCTCACACCCATCTGTAACTCCAGTTCCAGGGGATCAAATGCCCTCTTCTGATCTCTACAGACACTGCATGCAAACAGTTCACTTACATACATGCAGGCAAAACTCATACATGTAAAATAAAATGCTTTAAGAAATATAGCCGGTCGTGGTGGCACATTTTTTTTTTAATTTATTATTTTTATGTCTATTCATGTATTGCCTGCATGTGTCTAAGTGCACCCGTGTCGTGCAATGCCCGAGGAGGTCAGAAGAGGGCATCGGATCCCTTGGAACTGGAGTTACAGACAATTGTTAGCTGCCATGTGGGTGCTGGGATTTGAATCCAGGTCTTCTGCAAGAAGAGCCAAGTGTTCTTAACCCCTGAGCCATCTCTCCAGCCTGAAGGCACACACCTTTGATCCCAGCACTAGGGAGGCAGATACAGGTGGATCTCTGTGAGTTCAAGGCTAGCCTGGTCTATATAGCAAGTTCAAGTTCTGCTGGGGCTACAGGGTAAAAAAGACGCCCCCCCCTCCAAAAGAAATATGCTGGATGTGGTGATGCATGCCTTTAGTCTCAGCACTCTGGAGAAAGAGACAGGCTCTATAAGAGCAAGGTCAGTCTGGTCTACATAGTGAGTTCCAGGTCAGCTGGGGCTAAAGTCCAGGCCAGAGGTGGACTTCAGTGTCTTTTTCCATTACTCTCCACCTTACTGTCTCACTGAGGCTGGAACTCTTGGATTCGGCTTGATTGCTAACTGGCTAACCAATGAGCTCTGGGAATCTGCCTGCATCTGAATCTCCCAACCCCCAGGGCTGGGATCATACACCTATGTCGTGGAGCCTGGCCCCTTATGTGGGTGGTAGGATTTAGACTCAGGTTCTCGTACTTGTGTGGCAGGCACTTTACCAACGGAGCCAGCCCTAGCCCCTGGATATTTTCTTGGTTTATTTTTTATTATTTTATGTGTAGGAGTGTATTGCCTGCATGTATGTGAATGCACCTGTGTTGTGCTATGCCGCGGAGGTCAGAAGAGGGCTTCAGATTCCCCTGGAACTGGAGTTAAGGACAGTTCATAGCTGCCATATGGGTGCTGGGAATTGAACCTGGGTCCTCTGCAAGAGCAGTCAGTGCTCTTAACCCCTGAGCCATCTCTCCAGCCCCATTTTATTGTTTTTTGGAGACAGTCTATGTAGCCCTGGCTGCTCTGGAACTCGCTATGTAGACCAGACTGGCCTCAAACTCAGAGATCTGCCTTGCCTCTGCCTCACAAATGCCCAGCATTAAAAAAAAATTTTTTTAATTATTTTTATGGTGACAGCATGCCCAAGTCCCATGCAAGCTCAAACTGGACAAAATCCCAACACAGACATGGAGAAGTGAGTAAGAAATTCAACCCAACCTAAGGAACTTTAATCTCTTGGGACTGGTTAACCAGGCTCCAGTGGATGGACCTACACTGAAGGACATTTGAAGATACAAATTAGACTTGAGAGGTCTTATTATATACATAATAGAGCACATTAAATTGGGCAGGGGGCAGTAAGGGGAGGTATGGATAAGGGAGAGGATCTAAGTTTCATCAAATTACATTGTATGGAAAATCACAAAAATTCAATTAAAAAATGGAAAAATGTTTTTATTCTGTGTGTGCCTATCTTTATGTGGGCATGTGCTTGTGAGTGAAGGTGCCTGTGGAAACTAGGGGCCTCGGTTCTCCTTAAGAGCTGGAGTTAAGTTTTAAGGCACATGAGCACTGGGAGCCCAACTTTGGTTTTTAAATGTTAAATGTTTTTAACTGCTGAACCATCTCGTAGCCGCCCCACCCCCTGACATTTTCTAACCTTCTAAACACTTAGAAGAGACAATCCAGCCAGAGCCAAGCACAGTGGAGTGCCAACCACAGGTTAAGCAGATCCTTCACCTCACCTCATCCCAGAGGTCCTGGAAACCTGTACTCAGGCTCTGGATTGGTACATTTCATTCAATACTTCCCTGCAGTTCACAGAGAAGTTACTTCTGAGCCCGATTCCTAAATGATGTTGTAAATGGTTGCATGCTAAGTAGGAGGTTCTCAGCGAATGACTCTAAGTCACTAAACACACTCCACTTGAGAAAGGTTGTTTTCCTGTGATTAGGACTTACCTTAGGCTGGACATGCCAACTTTTGTACTGGTTTTATGGACCTCTGCTCTTTAGAAGGCTGCTCCTGCTACAAGTCTAACAGTCTTAATTCATGGGTTCTGTTTTGTAGATAGATAACACTGTATAGCCCAAGCTGTCCTTGAACTCACTACACAGCCGAAACTCCTGATCCTCTTGCCCTTGCTTCCTCAGTGCTGGGATTAACCCATGGGATTTGGAACCTAGTTGGCACCTTCCTCAGAAAGCTGCATACGTAAGTCTCCCCACACAATTCACTTACGGTGGATGGGATTCCAGTAGAGGACACACCAGGTGCCAATCTTGCCCATGCCTCTTGGAAGCTCTTGTTCAATAACCTGATGAAGGGCAGCAGGGGCTACTTTAAAAATTTTTTTATTTTATGTGTACACATGTATTGCCTGCAGGTGTGTAAGTGCACCTGTGCCATGCAATGTCCCTGGAGGACAGAAAAGGCTGTTGGATCCCCTGGAACTGGAATTACAGGTAGTTGTTAGCTGCTATGTGGGTGCTGGGGTTCGAACCAGGGTCTTCTGCAAGAACAGCCAGTGTTCTTAACCGCTGAGTCACCTCTCCAGGCAAAAGGCAGCAGGCACTCCTTAATGTACTGTACTGTGTGGGGCCTCAGTCTGGGGATTAGAATCTCTAATTAGAATCCACATTCTTCAGGGGCTACTTTTATTTGTGGTAATAAAACAGAAGTCAGAACACCAACTCCTAAGCGCAAGAGCCATACCTCTGACAAAATCCCTGATGGCAAGACTCGGACTGCACCCAAATGACAAAAAAGTTACATTTAATTTACAATGTAATAAAGGTTACAGGTAAAAAGCTACACATAAAGCATGAAAAGGCCTATTACACAAATGTACAAATCTGTACAAAGCTCAATGGTTCCTATCTGTCTCCTGTGTTAGCCAGGTCTAGTATGGAGCTCTGAAGAAACCAGAACTCTCAACTGAGGGGGCGGGGAAGAGCCTCCAAACCAACAGCTGAACATATCCTCTTAAAGAAATCCAGTCTTTGCAAAGTACAGGCTGCTCGTGTTTCATTTGAATTGCCCTAACTGGTCATAGTTCCCTTATAACACACTCAAAAAAGAAAAGTGACACCTCGGGGAGGAGAGGACAGCACTCTGGAATTAAATGAAAATTAGACAAGTGGAGTGTTCAGTATGGATGAGAAAAATAGTTTAAACCATACTGTAAAAACCATAAACCTGTGCCTATTACACTAGTCACAGACCAAGGGAAATCAAAATGATCTCACTCCAAAGAAGGGACAGAAGAGAAAAGCCTTATTGGACCTCAAAACCAGACTCAAGGAAACACCTGAGCTTAAATGAAGAATGCTAATCAACCTGAGATCCACAGCAATCATCTTGCTACCTGGGACTTGCAAGGGTAGTGACTACAATTGAGGTTGCTCGACCCCAGACTGTGAGGCTAGTGCCACCTCCATAGCTTTGGACTCCACCAGGTGTGACTTCACATGAAAATGATCCTAAAGAGAGGGAAGAGGAGGTGATGGGAGAGAGCAGGGTAGTCTACTTCAAAGGCCCAGGAAGGCTTATCTCTGCACTGACAGTGTTCTGAAGACAGGTCTTCACAGAATAGTTCAGCCCCACCCTAGTCTCAATATTACATGGTTAGGATCCTAGGAGACTTTCTGAAAGACGATACTGCACACATGGAAAGTTTTCTCCCTAGTTCATATGCTCCCCTTGTCACCCATCCACCCATTCCCACCCAGTCCCACCCTCTCCATGACCAAAAATATCAAATCAGTAAGGAAGGTGTGGGTTTCTTGCCCGGCCAGGCCTCTTTTGCATATTTCTTCTTCTTGGGTTCATTTACAGCTTCAGGGTTATAGACTGCAGGGTTTGGTGTGGGGTTCATGTTCACTGCTGATGGCACAACAGGAGTCAAGTCCACGTCAGGGGCAAGGTTTGGGTATGGCATAGGCAAGCCACCGATGAGTGCTGTCCCGTGGATGCCATGTGGCTGGGAGCCTGCTTCATTGTGTGTGGGAGGCAGGCCCCCATAGAGTCCTCCACTGAAGGCAAAGTTCTGCATGCGCCTGCTCCCTGACTCCTCCAGGCCCAGGGAGCCAGGGCCCTCCATCCGCTTCTTCTGTGGTGAGCCACAAGGAGAGGGGAGAGAACAGAGAGCAGCTAAGTGGTGAAGCCCTAGTTTACTTTTTTCCAATCTAGCCTTAGAAAATGGACATGTGGGAAAAGCCCCTAACTTCCAGTCTGCTGTTTCTCAGACAACCCACTTCAGATTTTGAAATCTTAGGGTCTGAAGTCATCTAACATCATAGTTCTTAAACATGCTCCAGAGCAGTGCTTACCAGCTTACCTCAACTCAAGAAGAATGAGGACACCTGTTACAGAAAGTAAAACCTACCTAATTTAAGTGACTATTCCTTTTTAAAAATACTTTATGAATGCAGAGATCTCTGTGAGTTTGAGGCTAGCCTGGTCTATATAGCGAGTTCCAGGCCAGCTGGGGCTACAGGGAGACCCTGTCACAAAAAGACCAAAAAAAAAACCAAAACAACTTTCTGAGTGTCTTGGCTGCATGTGTGTTAAGTGCACCTGTACAGGTAATATCCAGAGGCCAGAAGAGGGCATTGGATCCCCTGGAATTGGGAGTTATTGATGGTTGTTAGCCACCATGTGGATTCTAGGAACTGAACCTGGGTCCTCTGCAAGAGCAGCCAGTGCTCTTAACCATTGAGTCATCTCTCCAGTCCCTAAATGACTATTCTTTATCCTAAGGACATACCTGTCCACTTTTTAAGTTGATGCTCAGTAGGAAGCAGAAGTGATAATTCACCTATTTTCTTTTGGGGGGGAAGCATAAAAAGGTGATAGGCTCCCTGTTGGGTGTCTAGTACTTTTTCAACTTTTTTTTAAAGTGAAGGGCAGAGTTTCACTATGTTGTACAAGTTGGACTGCAGAGGCTGTTCACAGGCACAGACTGACTACTAATCATTAGGAGTTTTGCCCTCCAACCAGGGCTGATTCACTTCTCCTTAGGCAGCCTGGTGGTCTCTGTTCCCAGGAGGTCTCAGTACTGACTCAGCTGGCACTGTGCACTATAGCTTTGAACTCCTGCACTTAAGCAGTTCTCTTGTCTCAGCCTTCTAATAGGTGGGAGCTACAAGAATGCATCACCACACCCTGTTGGGTGCCCAATTTTTCAACATTACTCTAGAAGCAAAACAAATCTGAAGTCAAGGATATAGCCCACTGGTAGCCTGGAGCCCAGTGGAAGACTGGCTGTAAAGGGACCGAGGAAACTTCTGAGGTGATGCGGAAAAATCTTGAAATATCTTGATAAGGGTGGTAAACAGGTGTATCCATGTCAAAACTCAAACTATATACACAAATGTTTACATTTTATTATATGTATATTATTCCACAATAAAACTACCTCCTGATTTTGTTTTTTAACAAGAGAACATTACAAAAGAACAACAAAGAAAAAGAGAAAAGGGAAATGTGTCAGGAATATTATGGGGTTCTGAAGAAAAAATTTTGTGCTTTGTAGCACCAGCCTTCTTATCCTGCACTCTTTTGTTGCTGTATTTTCAAATTTCTATTTATTGTGTGTGTTCTAGCACAAGCCTGCCACAGCACAGCACAGGTGGGAAGGTGAGAGGATAATGTGTAGGAGTTAGTACCCTCCTCCCACCAAGTGGGTCCCAGGACTTAAACTCGGGTCATCACACTTGGTGGCAAGTGCCTTTACTTGCTGGGCCATCTCACCAGTCCTACTTTTGTGTTTTTTCTTCTTTTTTTTTTCTTTTTTTGGTCTTTTTCAGACAGGGTCTCCCTGTAGCCCCAGCTGTCCTGGAACTCACTATGTAGACCAGGCTGGCCTCAAACTCACAGAGATCCACCTGCCTCTGCCTCCCGAGTGCTGGAGGCGTGCACGACCATGCCCGGCCTTTATTTTTATTTTTGAGACAGGGTCTCCTTATAGCCCCAGCCGACCTGGCACTCACTATGTAGAACAGGCTGGCCTCAAACTCACAGAGATCCACCTGCCTTTGCCTCCCAAGTGCTGGGATTAAAGGTGTATGCCACCATGCCCAACCACTATTTTTGTGTTTTTGAGATGGTCTCAATGTAACCAAGGCTAGCCTTGAACCTAGTATGTATCTGAGAATGACCTTGAACTCCTATTCCTCCTGCCTCTACCTCCCAAGTGCTGGGAGCTATGTTCTTTTCTGACTAAACAAAGATCAAAGCAGAAACTTGGACATACACTGTCAATTTACTTTAATGTACATGGGTCCCACATGCACAGATGCAAAACTGGAAGGAAGGTATTTGGGGAAAAAATTATCTGTATTGGGAATACGTAAAGCCATTTTTTTTTCCTTCCCTAAACAATAAAGTGTAACAACATGCATTTATGGGATTATCTACTTTTGCTGTGTTGGGAGACTGAACCCAGTATGTGGCAGGAAAGTACTCTACAATTGAGTTATATCCCTAGTCTAGTTAACAACTTCTTATGTAGCATTTACCCTGTATGATAAATAATCTAGAGATTTAAAGTATACAGAAGGAAGGGCTATGGATTTAGTTCAAGTGGGCAAGTTCTTGCCTAGAGTACACAAGGCCCTGGGTTCACTCCTCAGCACCACAAAAATAAAAGTATATGGGAGGAGGTTTTCCAGACTATATGCAAATACCACATATTTTATGCAAGTGATTTGCATATCTGTGAATTCTGGTATCTAGCCAGCAGTACTTGTATGTGTAGGAGAGAGATAAGGATCAGAACCAATTTCATACAGGTACCTGCTTACTGAAGACTAAAAAACTGGAACTATAGCATTTCTGATTAACCTCTTCCAATCACCTTTGGAATACTTCTGTTAACAAAGATCTCATTATGTAACGGGGAGTTTGCTCCCTTTTAGAACTTACATCAGGAAGTTTTTCAATATATTGGGAATCAGAACATCTTAGTGACTTCTACTTCTTGGTTCTTCAACATACCTGACCTTTAAACCTAACCCAAGATCTAGACTGGTCTTCGTATCTGTGTGACCCTTGTTCAAAAAATAACATGGCATGGCTAGAGAGATAGCTCAGTGGTTAAGAACACTGGTTGTTCTTGCAGAAGACCCAGGTTCGAATCCCAGCACCCACATGGCAGCTAACAACTGTCAGTAACTCCAGTCCCAGGGGATTTAACAGCCTCTTCTGACCTCCGTGGGCATTGCACAACACGGGTGCACTTACCTACATGTAGGCGTAACACTCATAAAATAAAAATAATAAATAAAAATTAAAAAAAAATAAATAACATGGCAAAGGCCACCTGTTCCTGCAGCACTGCAATAATGCTTCTCCTGCATGTTGAGTCAGAAGAGAAGGAAAAGGAAGGTGGTTCTCTCTGCATCCTTATGGAAAGTAACTTCACACCACCATAGCGCACAGTGCAAAACTCATACTTTCTATCTGGCTGGTCACCTGAAGTTTTCCTGTGGTACCCCAGAATTTCTTAAACATAGATAAGAGTATTTCCACAGAATGAAAAATGGGAGAGGAGTCTACAATGTGTTTTTGTTTTTTCTTTTGGTCTTTTTGTAACCTCAGCTGGCCTAGAACTTGCTATATAGACCAGGCTGGCCTCAATCTCACAGATTTGCTGGCCTCTGCCTCCTGAGTACTGGGACTAAAGCTGTGCACTGCTACACTCAGCAAGAATGTGTTTTAAAACTACATACTCGTTTAATACTGACCTATACCTAACAGGTTTTATTTTTTCCCTGTCTCTTTACTTTTTTTTGGTGCAATACCTGGATCAAACCCAGGATCTTACTAAGTATATGTTCTACAACTGAGTTAATTCCTAGAGTGAGTTTTTGATGTGGGTTTTGATATTTCAAACACTCTTAAAATGTGCTTCCTACCTTGACTGGAACCACTGCAGTTTGCACCATGTTCCGGAAGCGACCAACTGAGGGATCCACATCCTCTGCAGAAAGAGGTAAGGACAGAGTGAGGTGGGTAGTACCCCACTGGGAGAAATAAGGGTAAAGAGCTACACACCAAACACAACTCATTCAACCCCATGAGAGAGAGACTACTGAAGTCACATTAAGTAGATGAGTGTGGGGACCTAAAAGCCCCACCTTGCAGAGGTCCAAGAGGAAGTTACTGGAGCATGACCTGACTTGTTTTAAGTCTGAAGGATACTTCTGCACTGCTGAAGAGTGCATGATCAGCGCATGACCATCCTTAAGATACACCCTCAGCAGGGAGGGGGGATTTCCAGGTGCCTTTGTAAGCTCTGTAACACCTGCAATAAATGAGTCCCTGCCTGACTAGGCTCCCGGTTGTGCCTGAGTGTTCCTGGTACTGGGGGCGGCGTGGGCTGGCAAACTGCGTGCTTACTCATCCCCAATCATCACTGCATGGGGGTCGCTGGTTCGAACCCTCCTCAACTGGCGCCCAACGTGGGGCTCGAAGGAAGGTAAAAAGAAGGAAAGAAAAAAAAAAAACGGACTAGGGCCAATCAAGAAGTTCGGGGTAAGCGAGACCCGAAAGATGGGTAACGAAATCAATAAGCCTGAGGACCTGGCGCTTAAAGCGCTGAGAGATGCTTAAAAGCAGGGGATTGGATCTGTCAGATCCAGTAGCTCAAAAGATTTGGGCAGAGGCGATTCATTTGTCTCCCTGGCTACTTGGGGCTAATGTTTTTACTGGGGATACATGGGAATCATGGGAAGAGTTTGAGGAAGAACATGGAAATGCAACAGAAGTGAACCCAAAAGCGGCCAAAGTAACAAGCGACATCTCGGATGTGCCCTGGCCACCTTCAGGGCTTCCCGGGACCCATGCTCATGACCCATGAGTTCCTTTTTCAGAAAGGCGGGGTGGAGCAGAGTGCACAGGGTCAGCGACAAAGCCGCCCACTCAATGCGTTTTGAAACACGGACCAAGGAGTGTAACGCATGCGCGAGTCAGGGGCTCGCCTGGGGATACATGGGAATCATGGGAAGAGTTTGAGGAAGAACACAGAGATGCAACAGAAGTGAAACCAAAAGCAGCCAAATTAACAAGCGGCACCTCAGGCATGCCCTGGCCAGCTTCAGAGCCTTCTGGGACCCATGAAAACAGGACCCATGGGTGCCTTTTTCAGAATGGCGGGGCAGAGCAGAGTGCATGGGGCCAGCGGCAAAAGCCACCCACCCAACTGGCCTTGAACTAACGCATGCGTGAGTCAGGGGCCTGCACGATGCGTGAAAGCCGGGTGGGGAACTGCCCCCGGCCGGCGACAGTCACTGGGTGCATTAAAAACAAACAAACAAAAAACCACCGTTGGCTGTGCGCTGTGACCAGCTCCGGGACAGCTGGGAAGGCCTGGTTCAGGGAAGGTGGCTGGGGGAGGGCCTGTCCCATCCATTCCACAGGCAGCCAGGGATCCACCCCGCCCCCAAGTGTTACAGCCCCACCGGCAGCAGCGCTCGCCGAATCCTGGGGCCGAGGGAGCAGTAAAAGCCTACAATGTTTTCACTGACGGGGGCAGATTTGGAGCTGCAGTGGTAGTATACCCAGGGGTAGATGAGAAGCCAAAAAGATATGTCCACACTTGTGATGGCTCAGCTCAATTCAAGGAACTCATGGCCATTGCTTTCTGACAGTATTCAGACTCGTATGCTCCTTAAAGAGAGAGAAGCCCCTATTTTCTTACAGCATCTTAGGGGGCACCAAGGATTGCCTGGGCTTTTATCC